TTCTTCCTCCCAGCTCTGGCCACTGCCTCCTCCTGGCAGCATCAGCTCTTGCAGAGGGCCCAAGCTAACAAACACACCAACGTTTCTTATCAGGGCCTCCAAAGTACACCCTTTGTGCTGACCTGCTCTGTTACTGAGATTCTTCTCACTATGGGGAACCAACGGCACAAGGACAACACACCACAGGCTATGCTTGCTGGGGCAAACCTTAGAAGAAATGAGATAATTTTCAACAAACTGGAAATTTCACTCCCAAAAATACATCCTGGAAACCTCACTGGTAAAGCAAACTTCCATGGTCAAGGCTACTCCTTCCAAGATCTCCTCCTGAACCACCACCACCTAAGTCTGGATGGAGCTGGCAGGGAACTGGCACTCACACCTCCCTTGCTATCCTCCTCCCCAGGGCCAAGAAGCCAAATTGCACACAGCCTTCTTATTATTTACTCGGACAATCCTGGGATGTGGGGAAAAGCACTATTTGCCACCTCCAGCAACTCCCCCTCAAGGGATAACATCTCCAGTGGAAGAAATGAAGTTGGCTCTAATTTATAGCTGTCCCTCCTGGAACATAAAGTGTCCCAGAAATAACAGCGCTTAATAGTGAATCTGAGATGGTCACAAGGGAAATAAAACCTGAGGTCAGGCAGAAAACACTACAAACACAGCTGCTTCTGTGGCTGTTTAGAGAGGCAGCATATGGGGTCATATAGTGACTCCAAAGATGGCACGTACCTCCTCCGAAGACCCTAGGCACGTAGGAGTTGGTATTTTACTGGCTGCTGTTAAGGACTATTTGAATAAAAGCGGCACAATAAAGCAGAGGTGAGGTGCAGGGCTATGACAAGTACAACGAGGGCAACAGGAATGATGAGAGGTGGACCTCTCTCCCTCCGCAGAGCCTCCCACCACTGATTCAAAGAAAGGGAGGAAAGTCTCCGTGCAGCAGGAGCCGTGATCCACGCAGAAAGAATCTGTTTCACTTCTAGAAAGAGCCACTTCAAAATACTTCACATTCCTGAGTGGTGCTGCTGGGCTTAGTTGCTTATCCCATTTGCTTACAAACTTGCAGTATTACAGAGAAAAAGTTGGAGGGACTCTTTGGCTAAGATTGCAGATCATGCAAATGGCACGCGAGAGAGAATGAAAGGGGGAAACAGAGGCAAAAGGGTTCAGCATTTCTTTAAGATTTTATCCAAAGAAAGCCAGACCTGTTCTCCATGCTTCAGGACTTAATTTATGACACAATAGCTTTGTTTCCCCAGAAACAAAACTTCCCTGGTAACTTATTTCCACCCAGCAGCCCTGGCCACTAACATCAGATACTTCAGCACTTCTACAGCTGAAGAGCCTGTGGCCCTTTGAATAGGAGACACACTGCATTGACCTTTCAGAGCTTCGCACGCTGTCTGGGTGCTCTTTAAATGCATCTGATTAGTCCTCTGTCCTCCTCATCTCCACTTCAAGTTCTAGCCTTTTTTCTCCCTCTTTCACATCAAACAACCAGGCACTCTCCTCCCCACTCATAAGCCATACAGAAAATACAACTACTTACTCCAGCAAGCTGCATTTTACCTTGTCCTCCAACTCCCAGGAGGCACTCTCTGGTCTCCAGGACCCTAAGCCTAAGAGGAAAAACAACTATTCTTTCTTGAGGGAGCCCAAAGCTTCTCAAAAGACTTTCAGGCAAGCTCTCTTGGCGCCGCTTGCCATTTCAGCCCTTACCAACCAGCTTCCAGAAACACAACCATCCGAAGCTGAGATTCCAGCACTACTTTCTTCTCAGTTGTGCCAGACCAGAGAAGACCCAACATAGGACAAACAACCCATCTTCTTCTCAATTTGTGCGAAGCAACAACAAACAGGTCAGCAAATTCTCTACTGTATAATAAATTGTGCATATGTCTAATGCTCTGCCATCTGTAATCTTCCTTCTATGCCCTGAATCTCAATCAGTTCTTCACTGAGGAGGTCTTTGTCCCAAATTAGGTCTTGGCCCAGCTGTGAAGCACAGAAAACACACTGTCCTACAAAGGAAGGAATTACAGTTCTCCAGGAGGCAGGATGAAGGAGAAGGGTTTGAAAGACGTCAATGTAGATTTGAGTCAGAAATTGCACATGACATCATGGCACGACCTTCTACTTCCTGCTAACCCACATACGTACATTAGGACAAACGGCATAACAACTCTTCACAAATATATAACACTATTTGTTAGGTAATCTCCAAGTTACTACGCAAACATTAATTAAGCTTCTTAGCACCCCTGAGAGGTAGGCAGCTAAGTATTACATCCTTCTACAGAAAAGTGTCTGTCTCAAGGTCAGTCTATGGTGAGAGCAGGATTACAACTCCCATTCCCCTCTGACTACTAGGCTGTATTCCCTATGCTGGTCGAGCTTGCTCCAGCATTTCATCTGCCTCAACTGGATGAACTGGTGGAGCTGGAGTTGCATCTCCAGCTTAGGGTCTGGGACCTGGATCAGAACATATGAGTTGTAGCATTGCGCTCCCGGTGCAGATGGCTTATGCTCTGAGGTTGCAGTTTCCAACTCTTACTGCA